GAAAGACCCGAGCTAACATGGGGTTAGTTCGTTAAATTACAATAAAGCCTCGTGCAGTTTGCAGCAAGCTCTCGAATCCGCCTGGTGATTGGGGTGACCGCGAACCTGGCCTGAGACCCCGGATACTTGAGTTTTCGGGGGTCTAACATTATAGGGCAGCGTAAGGTGAGTGTCTAGGGGTATGCACAGGCTCAGGATTGGTGTGCCTCCAGGCTTGGAGGGCTTGCCCTGGTTTGATTGGCCAAGTGTTTGTTATGGACCATAAGCCCTCCCAGAGTGGTTGCTATGCTCTTCGTGTCATTGCTGTGTGCTTGTCCATAAAGTACACCCGGAGTCATAAAGCATAGCACCACCAGCTAACTTCTGATTCGTTCCTTGTCAGGAGGCAGGCACCTAACCTCTAGTGACTAAGGCAAGGTCAGAAAAGCACGTGTCTGGCTGTTATGGCTGTCGAAATGGGGAGCTGGTCCCTTCAGTGTGTGTGTGTGTGTGTGTGTGTGTGTGTGTGTGATATGTTCTCAAGACCATAAAGGCCCCATCAGATCCCCTGGAGATGGAATTTCAGGCAGTTGTGAGCCATCTGATATGGGTGCTGGGAACTGAACTCAGGTCTTCTGGAGGAGCAGCCAGTGCTCTTGATGCTGGGCCATCTCTCCAGCCACGCTTCTATACTCTTTTATACCATGCTTCATTTTCTGTGCTCTATTTTCTGATCTTATTTTTATTTAATTCCTTAGATTTTTGTTGACTTTCTTCTGTGTCGGGGACCAGTAAAATTCCATTAGGGAATTTCCAGCGGTTTCAGTAACAGGGATCTCTGGTCTGCATTGAATAGTGGATGCTAACTGATTTGCTATTGAATAGCATGGCCTCAGTGGAGAATGTCCCCTAGTTTGCATCTCTACAGGACTAAGGATTTGAATAGGCCCGCACCAGGGCAGAGGGTTAGGTGTGTTAGTAACAAGTGAGGAGGTGACCTGGCAGAGGAGTCGAGTAGAAGGGAGAGAAATGGCTTCAGGTTTAGGGAAGCATGGTTAGGAAACAGCCAGGAAGATGCTGAATAAAGAAGAGACTCTAGTTCTGCAGCATGGAATTGAGAACTCTCTAAAGATGACAAGTTGCCTGTGTTTGGTGTTTATCGCCGTTGGGTTGCTAGGAGTTTCCAAGTCCACGCTCCCCCACTCAGGCCAAACCTCATGGCTGCCGTGGCTTGGGGCTGAGACATGCCAGGTCATGCCACTTCTGTTTCTTGATATTGAGGCAGAAGGATTGCTTTCAATTCCAGGTTTCCCTGGACTAACTTTGAGTTGTAGCTGAAGGACCCCAACCTAAAATGTTTTCTTTGCAGATACATGAGAATCTGAACTTATGACCCTAACAGGAAAGAAAATGAAGGACCCCAGCCCAGCCTAAGATGTTTTCTTTGCAGATTTGTGAGAACCTGAATTTATGACCTTAACAGTAAAGGGTTGAGGAATTCCACCCTGACAAATGGTTCCCAGAGATAAAGATGTAACTGCCCTGAACGCCCCATGAACCTGGAGATTGTGGTCGGCCACCTGGAACGAGCCAATCAGAACTGTTACCCTCGCTCACCCCAGACCCCATCTGTTTGCAGTTTTTGCCTTTAAGAAGCCCCTAGACCCCAGCTCGGGGTCTAGCTCCTCTGCTCCTGTGTGAGTAAGGAGTTGGGCCCCTGAGTGCCAGTTGCTGAATAAAGCTTCTTGCGGTTTGTATCAAGTCCTCATCTCCGCCTGGTGACTGGAGTCACCACATTCTCGAGTGGTCACCCCAGGGTCTCACCCCATGGAGGTCTTTCATAGCAAGCCAAAGTTAGGCTGTGGTTCTCTCCTCTTTTCACTAGAGCACTTAACAGTATTTTATATTCTATTTTTAAATGTGTATGTGTGTGTGTGTGTATGCGAATGCATAAAATGAGCACTCTTTAAAAGACATGTCTTTATTTGTGTCTGTGCATGCTAGAGGATAGAACAGGGCACCAGATCCCTCTGGGCTGGAGTTACCAATATTTAAGGGGTATCAGCTTGTTATTTGGGTGCTGGGATCTGAATTCTCGTCTTTATGATTGCACATCAAGTACTCTAACCACTGAGAAATTCCTCCAGCTCCTCCACTGGCACTTTTCTTTCTTTCTTTCTTTCTTTCTTTCTTTCTTTCTTTCTTTCTTTCTTCCTTTCTTTCTTCCTTTCTTTCTTCTTTTCTTTCTTTCTCCCTTCCTTCCTACCTTCCTTCCTCTCCTCCTCCTCCTCCTTCTCCTCCTCCTCCTTCTTTTATTTATTTATTTTTGGTTTTTTGAGACAGGGTCTCTCTGTGTAACAGCCCTGGAACTTACTCTGTAGATCAGGCTGGCCTGGAACTCACAGAGATCCCTCTGCCTCTGCCTCTGTCTCCTGAGTGCTGGGATTAAAGTACCACTCAGAAAGGAACTTCTCATTGTCTCCACCCCATCTCCATAGTCCTGGGCCAGAGACTTTACCTACAGGGAGAAGACTGATGTTTCCCAAAGCCTCCTGCAAACAGATTGAGATGTTGTGTGGCTCAATTGTATGGCACCTTCCCAGTATGGGAGAGGCTCTGGGTTTAATCCCATAACAAGGCAAATAACAATGATAATAAAAACAATAACAATAGTAATAATAATAAATAGAGAAATAAAATGGAGCAGTCCTGCAAGTTATGGTGTAGGGCACTTGGGAGATTAATCTCACTGGCTTTATGGGTTCATCTAAAGGCTGGGAAGATTTCCAGGAAAGTAAACAGAGTCACAACAGATGAACACTGACTCAGGGAACTAACTATTTCTTCCAGGGAGTCCAAAGCAAGTGAGCAACCATATAGTACTGAGTGAATTTTAACAGCTGGGTGTAGTCAGGAACAAAGACACATGAAAGGTCTGCAGAAAATACTGCCCCAGCACTTGTGAGGCTGAGGCAGGAGGATTACCTACTGAACATTTGAGGCCAGCCTTGGCTGAACATAGAGTTCCAGGACAGCCTATGTAGAATGAGACCCTGTCTCATAAAACTCAAAACCATGTAAGAAAAAACAAAAACAAAACAGGTCAGGTATGGTGGCGCATGCCTTTAATCCTGGTACTCAGGAAGTAGAGGCAAAAGGATCCCTATGAGTTTGAGGCTAGCCTGGTCTACATGGTTAAATTCTAGCCCAGTCATGGCTATATAGTGAGAATATATACTGAGAACTTGTCTCAAATAACAACAAACCAAAACCAGCAAAAAAAAAAAAAATCCTTTAAAAACCCTCAGTTGTGCCAAAAGTCACTGCGAGCATAATACTCCCTACAGTCACTGTGAACATACCCACTGCAGTCACTGTGAGCACCCCCACTGCTGTGTGGCATGAGTGGCAACTTTAGAGGCACTGAAGGAATGAAGTAGGTTTGATCACCTCCACTGACATCACTAAATAAATAAACAAGCAGACAATAATCACATACCCCAGAAATAGGAGAACAAGCAACAATATATTTTCTAAAACGCCCTTTCTCCAAAACAACAGAAATTAAAAGGCAGGAAAATATGACTCATACAGTGAAAAGCAAATAAAAGCAGGCGGCAGAGACTGCCTACGCAAGTGGCCAGAGGTCAGATTTGACAGACACAGCCTTCAAAGTCACTATTATAAGTAAGGAGCCAAAAGAATTGTGATTAAAGAAGGAAAGGACTGTCAAAGGACAATGTCACATCAAATGGTGTATCACGAGAGAGAGAGAAATTGTTTTGTTTAAGGTCAGCATGAGCCACCTAGTTCCAGGTCAGCCTGGGTTACAGAGTAAGACCAAAAAGAAAGTAACTGAAAAATTTAATAAACTTGTTGCTGGGTAGTGGTGGCACATGCCTTTAATCCCAGAATTCAGGAGGCAGAGGCAGGTGGATCTCTGTGAGTTTGAGGCCAACCTGGTCTACAAAGTAAGTTTCAGGCCAGTCCAAAACAGAACAAAACAAAAAATCCACTAGACTTCCAGGAAGCCCAATGAACTCCAAGTAGGATAAATGCAGAGAAATCTATAAACAGACACATCTTGGCAAAAATATTGAGGGCCAAAGACCAGGAAGGAATATATTTTTGATTTTATCTTTTTGGTTTTTCTTTTAAGAAAAACTTTCTTTTTTTAAAAAAGGATTTATTAGTCAGGCATTGGTGGCACACGCCTTTAATCCCAGCACTTGGGAGGCAGAGTCAGGTGGATCCCTGTGCGTTCCAGACCAGCCTGGTCTACAAGAGCTAGTTCCAGGACAGCCTCCAAAGCCACAGAGAAACCCTGTCTCAAATTTCTATAGAGCAAGTTCCAGGACAACCTCCAAAGCAATACAGAGAAACCCGGTCTCAACCACCCACCCACCCCACCCCCACTCCCCATTTAGTTACTTTTATGTGCGTTGGTGTTTTGCCCCATGTATGTCAGTTTGGAGGTGCCACATTCATTGGAAATGGAGTTACAGACAGTTGTGAGCTGCCATGTGGGTGCTGGGAATTGAGCCTGGGTCCTCCAGAAGAGCAGAGCACCCAGTGCTCTTAACTGTTGAGCCAGCTCTCTAGCCCTAATTTTTGTTTTTTTGAGAAAGTGTTTCTCTTTGTAGCCCTGACCGTCCTGGAATTTGCTCTGTAGATTAGGCTGGCCTCAAACTCATGGAGATATACCTACGTCTGGCTCCCAAGTGTTGGAATTAAAGGTGTACATCACCTTAAAGGTGTACATCACCATACCTGGCAAGGGAATATATTTTAAAGATTTCTTTCTTTATTATTATTATCATTAGTGTGTGTGTGTGTGTGTGTGTGTGTGAGAGAGAGAGAGAGAGAG